TTCAACATTTCCCTTGAAGTGTGTAACTTTTCGTTGGTAAACCATATATTGAAAACGTGCGCACATAAAAGAGTCCGATTTGCCGTCGCAAAGATGCACCGCGACTGTCGTCGTCATGTCATCGTCAGGGCTTCCAGATAAATTTGCTCAACATTTTCTAAACAAGTAATGCCGTAAGAACGTCATGAAATGTATTTTGCAGACCAAATTTTTTTACAAGGCCTTGGATTATTTGGAGCTGCGATCGATTACAATCATCATGTATTGACCTTAGCGCACATGAAATAGTCGCGGCATGTTGAAAGTAAGTATGTTGTACCTGTAGGCTTTGAGCTCTTGATCAACCAAAAGACGCTGGGACAGAGTCAAGCCATGCAAACGAAAAACAAGTCTCCCCTATTTACAAATTCAAACATGCTTACATTTGTGTAGCCGAGATATAGGGTTAAAAAAGATTGAACTAAAAATATTCTTTAAAAGAACTACAAATTTACTAACACATTTGAGAAGAAGAACTCGCGCCCACTTCACTCAACTCAACACCTTGAACATTTCGGCGCCTGTATGTTCTCATGTAATCGCTCTAAAGCGAACGCAAGTTTATCAGCAGCTCACAATGAGTTTAGATATTCAAACGGTTGTGATATTAATAGCTTTACGGCCACCTTGCTTAAGTAAGTTAATTGAAAAACTTCCTGCTACAATTTAAATAATGAAAAAATAATATATATTTTTTTCATTTTTAACATTTTACATGCTAATGTACTCCTCCCTCCAACGCCTGACAGGAAATATGAATTGTTATTGTCAAACTAGCAGATTATTAGGCATTAAATGGCATTAGGCTAATAGACGGCAGACGTTTCGACGGCAGCATAGAAAAAAAAAAAAAAAAAAAAAAACTAACGCCCATTTTTTCTTTTTACAAAATATGCATTGAAAAAAGAGAAGAGAAACCTTCCCCCCGATGTGTGCCTTCAAATTAAAGGACAAACAACACAAGTCATACAAAAAAAAAGTTGCATGAGAAAGTCAATTGCTGCACACACAGGCGCATATATACATATATATATATATACATAGATAAGACAGAGGGGTGCGAAAATGTTAGTGACATCAAAACTATTAATCATCAAATAAATGAAAATGAAAAGAAGAAAAAATTGCAAAAATAAAACAAACAATTTTTGATTTTTCCTTCTCACATGAATGGCATGACGTTGCAATTGTAAACGAAAAAGAAATAAATTTCTTTGCCATGGCTAAGGAGCAGAGACGTTACGAAAACGATACCTATTGAAAATCTTTTCAAATCAGAAAAAAAAAAAACAGAAAAGGACACAAAGTAAACACTCAGAGATAGTCCTCTGTTGTGACGGTTTGTCAGATTCATTCATAAAAATCACATAAAACTCATGAGCCTCATGTATCGAGATATTTGGATTCATGCGATGCCTTCAATTGCTTGACACACGACACCTCTCCCGGGTATGTGTGTATGAAAAAAAAGCGAGGTTACTAAGTAAACAAACAGAGACCATTATCTCCGCAGTAAAAAAAAGTGGTGAACCTTTCCTTTGTTTCAAATTAAGAAAAACCAATAAATTTTTATTCCGTTCAGCTACCGACGTTGTAGTGCAATATATTACTTTGGCGCGTTGGTGTCAGGGCGGCAAGGTAATTGCGGTCGAGATCTTTACCGCAAATCCATTCTACAGCAAACCAAAGTGTAAACAAAACATTTTGAAACCATCAAATGACCAGCATTCGACAGTAAATCTTTTAAGAGTAACACGCTATAGAGTTCTCTGCCTGCCCTCCTCCTAAGCGAAAACCTGCCAGATGTAAGTTTTTCCAACAATCACTTTTTCTACCTATCCGTGCGGATAAATGTGCGTACACAGATTTAGTTTTCTTCTCAACTAGTTTTTCCATTTAACATTTTGACAGTTGCGTTCGGCACATATATGCCTTAACGATCGCAAAGCTAATGATGATTTTGCAAAACATTTATAGAAAAACAGAAGACAAATTGCAAAAATGCAAAAAAAAAGGAGAAGAGTAAAGGTTCAAAGATTGGTTTTATTCCATTCATTTTTCGTTCATATGTTTCTTTTGTTTTGGTCATAAATATTAATTTCAGTCCCGTTCGTTCAATACTTATTTTGACAGCATCTAAAAATGTTATCATTCGTGCGGAGAATCGTTAATGTTTTCCTTCAGGAATTTTTTTTTTTTTTTTTTTTTGTCACATTAATCCCTTGCGAAAGGGTTGAATGCCCCGCTCGCTATCGATTGTGTTCATTTATTCCATTTATTCCAATACATATTTCAATTTCACACTACATTTGCGGTTAAATATTTTGATAGATTGGTACGAAAAAAGGTTAACATTAACCTCATATTTGCAATTTAATCAAAGTTAACTAAAAAAAAATTACAATCGTCTTGGGGCTAATCCCAACCACTTATCACCGCATAGATGTCCTAATAGGTCTATCAAACTTGTTTTGTTTAGCTGAATGAATTCGAAAGTTGCTATGACAAATAAACAGACGAGGCATTCTAAACTGACTGAATGTTTCAAGCCCAACAACAATTTTAAATACTTTTGGTGGCTGCATAGGCAAAGTCATAGCTGACCATTAAGATATCAAACATATTTAACACAATTTTTACTTTTTCCCTTTGTCGGGGAAAAATTGTCTTGAGAAGCAAGCGATGCCAGTGATAAATGGCGAGACATTTAATGCGCGCATAGCTATGCTAAAGAAATTTCAGTTTTATCTACTGGTTCAGTTAGTCAGAAGACAAGAACACATGGAGAGACATAAGACGGACAGACGGACAGAAATGCTTAAATCGATACAAGGTCTTTGGCCTTTGAAGAGGACGAAAAATGGAAAGTGATATTCAAGTGGTAGTAGTAATGTTCAGTAGGTCAGAGAGTTGTAGTCAAGTTCTGAAGATTTAGTCTTTACTTGCAAATGGCCCTTAAGTGCTTCACGATAGCTTCACGTTCACCAAAGATTACAATCATAGTATGACTTCAAGATTTTGATTGTAAAACTTCATGTCTTGTGGAAGTCCTTTACTTAAAAATGTGGCTAATTTTTACTTTTCAACTAAATGTCCTGTAGTAGAAACACCAATTATATCAATAAACAACAAACTTAATATTCATTATAGAGACTAGGAAAACTGACCAACTCTAACATGATGTTAGCATAAATTTTACTTTTCATTTAAATTGATTGCAAGTCAGTTAATCATCCAGCTACAGAATGGAAGGAATTTTAAATAGAATTCTCATTGAAATTTATCCTTTCTTAGAAATATTATGTCAACATGTTGTGTGCAAAATAAAATAAGACAAAAATTCATATTCGCTTGGAGCGGGTCCTCAGATACCCTCCCTCTCAAGACAAAGGATGAGTGGGTGACGAATCGGCGAATATATGCATCGACAAAAACCTAGGAAACAGCAACAAACTTAATGTAGGTAAACAGCTGAGTAGATGGATGGACAGATTGACGAACAAATAGAAGAGCAAACACACATTGTGCTAATCAACAATATGTTTGCTTTTGTAGAGTCTTTGTTGCTGTATTTCTGTTACAAACGAATTAACAAACTCGGCATGCTTTTACACTTCGAATAGAAGCCATCCGTTTTCACTAAATTATTGTAGAAGCAATTTGTATATTTTTTTTTTCCACAAAAACAATTAGAAGATGTTAAAATCTATGTAAAACAAAACCACAGATATCCCTATAAGTGGTGCATGGAAAATATGAAATGAAAGAAACGTGAACGGAATGGGAAGGAAAATGTAGGCCAAGATGACATTAATGATGACAAAAGACAACCTGTAGGGTATCATATAAAGTAATGTATGCACAAATGTATAGAAAAGGTACATATGGATGTGCACATCTCACACGGAGACAATTTGTACTCAGTACATATTTTAAAGAAATATTTGGAGTTTTCCCTCTCCTTAGCTAATGTTACGCGCGTAATGAAAACGTCGACATGTGGAAAAGACATAAATTACAAAGCAAACAGAAAAAAAAAAAAAAGAAAAGGAAAAGAAAAGAAAAGAAAACGAAATTGAACAAAAACAAAGTCATATAAAATGAACACCAGTTGTGTGAGAAAATTCTCATAAGCAGTAAATTTACAAAAGGAAAAGGCGAGCAGAAAAGGTTTGTTCTTCTTCTTAAAAAGAAGAGGAGAAATAATTTCAAAAAAATTTAAGAATCATTTACAAGTTTTTCAGCTTAAACGCTTGTTACTTAAAAAACTTTACATTTAATTAACTTAATAAACAATACACTTGACCGTACTAAACCGACTGAACCTTATGTAGGAGGAAGCATCTTAAAAGCCATTTTCTTAGTTACTCATGGCAGCAATAACAATGCAATAACAAAAAGAAAAATGTAAAAACATACGAAGCAACTCGCCCAACTTCACTGACGTTTCAAAGCTTCCTCGCTATCGGGAATGCGAAAGTGCCTGCTATAACTATACAAAGGCCTGGCTGGGGATATAAATAGACTACTGAATTTTCTATATTGAAAATGGAGCGATAGAATATAACTGTTAGCCATTATAATCACAGAAAACGAGCGCATAAATGCTCATAAATCCTTTTATGAGCCTTTTAATAGCATTTTAAGTAGCTTCACGTTTACAACAACGGGTTACATATGTCTGGTTCGCTTTGCAGCTCTGCTGAAAAACATGCTTACTCAGCTCATAATAGTAATGTAAAAGTATACTATGTACACATACATGCAGACACACATACCCACACATATATGTATATATAGATAGAAAGAAACTTGCAAGTCTATTGTTATAATATATTACAGTTCTTTACTGTCAGTTAAAAAAAAAAAAATTAATATAAATTTTTTAAATTTCTTTTAAGATTTAAGAAAATCTTATTTTTAAAACATTAATTTGTTGTAAATTGTCTTCTGTTGCGCTGGTTTATTCTTTTCAGTTTGGGCCGAAACTGATTTTCGAGATAGCCATAGCTCCATGGCTGCGGTCGCTAATGGTTTGGAAAACACGCATTTAAATAACTTTCAAACATCAACAACATCAACAACCTCGTTAGCAAACCGCAATCGGGACCGTAAAGATGGTAAGTTAAACAGAACAATCTAAGAAAAGCCACATACTTGTGTAAAAGTTATAGGGCAAGCCTCCTATCTCAGTTAATATGACGACTTGGAAACCGGACAGACAGACGAGAATTCACGCTTTGTCTTTTGCTGCAGATGAGTGCCGACATTTGCAAAGTTGATTCGGGGGTTTTTAGCAAGCCTAAGCACAGAGAAAGTGTACTGGGCCTTACCATTTGATCACTGGGGCCTTATTGTGTATATCTTTAACTTGAAAGTTCAATTAACTGACATGTCATGTACCCAAACAAAGAATCCGTCGTAATAGAAGCAAGCGAAATAGCTTTAATTACGATGTTTCGGTGTGGCTCTGATTAGTTATCTTTTAAGATATCACTACGATAGCCCATAGCCTGATACGAGACTTAGATTTATTACGAATCATTGAATGGCTAAAATTCAGGCTCTGATTACTGGCTCACTGGCTTAATTCGCCACCGGAGGTCGAGTACATTACATCGACTTTAGAAAGATAACAACTATGGTGTTCTTAAACAAACATTAGATCGCAAATGCTGGCGTGTTGAAAGCATAACTGATCTTTGTAATTTTGAACTAGGGAAGTCTTTGCTAGAATTTGTATTCAGAAAAAGTCCGAGATGATTTTCAACCCATATATGCCGTCTTAACGCTTGCGTCAATTTGAAGTGTAAGGAAAGCATTGTCAGGGCAACCGAACGATGTTTAGGTCTAAAGAAAGGCTAAGCCTAGAATAGCGAAGCGATAAATTTGTGTTTCCCATGACTGATTTGAAAGCTGAAAAACTCGCTTATGATATGAGTGCAATGGCATCATCATCAGCAAAATACTTTTCAGGCTCGCTTTTTAAGTAAACTTTTCATATCCTAATAGAGAGAGACGACTGCCGTCAAACTCGGTTTCCATGCGCTACAAATGTTCCAAGTCCACCCTCTTTGGATGGTGTGTTCAATAAAAGCTGTTTCTATATTTTTTTTAACATGAAAAGGAAAAACTCCTGTAATTTGATCGCAAGCGCATTAGCAATAATGCTCCACATTTCTTTCATATATATGTGCATCGTATTTTAATCAGTGCTTTCCTTAGCAACTATTGGATCCAATAATATGCGCCCAAAGTCTCGCTGCTTGTAATTTCGAGAATTTCATCTGAGATGAAGGAGTTTTGAACGTGCTAGAGATGTTTGTCGGTTTGGTAGTGGTTCCGCTTATAATGCTTATGGTTTTTATTTCAGTTGTTCATAAGAGTTTGCTGCGGTCCGTTCTTAACGTAATCAACAATGGAAGCAAACTACGAAAGCAATCAATGATCGATCGTTTCATTTATTTTCATATGTTTTTGTTTTGGTTCTATATATTTTGGACTTTAACTCGGAAGAAGAACACCCTACACGGTGTACACTATAAAAAGAAGAATAAGCTTTGCCTTCTTTTTAATTAATTGCTCTGCTGCTGTGAACCCGAGTATTCGCGTAAAGCGATTTTGTTTGATTTTCTCAGATTCTTTAAAGATCTGAAGAAAAGCACAATTGTTATGACTTTCATTTGTTTCAAATGACACAACAAAGTTAATATGCATATAATTCTACTTTAGCTCTCTCGTGTTTGATAACAGATTAGAAGAGTTTCACGGCGGCTAGATTAAAGAAATTCATTTATTTTGACGAGGAAAACATTACAATTTTTTTTTTTTAGAAAACATTTGTAATAACTACGCAATGTCTGTGTGTACATGTGCTGCAAAGTTGGCGTCGTCAAGCCTCAATCTCTGTATAGATAAGCGTAATATATAACATAAATGTAATAATACGTTCTACATATAAGCGAGACATTAGTTAGGTAGCAATTACGCTCATTACTCGAATTTATCGCTTTATTGTTTCCACAAACACGATTAAAAATTACTCAACTAATGAAGTTCTCTTCAAATCGCTTCCTGATTAAAGAGCTAAAGTTAGACAGAGTTATTAAAATTTAATGTAAACTTCCTGACGACATTGTCATGCAATTCAACAAACAATATTGGACTGATGCGAGAGATTTCTTTAGGCCAACACTAGAGCTACAATTAAATTGATATCAGCCGGTAGAGGGGTTTAGAAGATGACGAAAAGGTCAAATTATTCACTAGACTCTTTGATGTTGATTAAGGTTTTCAATAAAGAAAATGCGAGGTAATGGAATTAAGATCACTTTGATGACTCACAATGACATCGTGTAGGAACTTGCGACTTTTCAGTGACATCCCATTGTGGTATTGAGTTTCTTCTGAGTATGACTGTGATATTCCCAAGCTGTAAAATTGCTTAGTTTAAAAGAAGATGGCCTCCGCATGGACTGATAGGTAGTCCATGCCGGGCCTTTACGCGAGAGATTCAGAGCCGTGTATTTAGGGCAGGATTTAGGGATAGGGAAGGTTAGCAAACATCAATCGTTGACGAGAAGCGTAGTAAATTCATTTACGTGCTTAAGAAATTGACCAAAATTGAATGAGTTGAACGCGTAGAAGAGATTATATTGATCGATTGATTTTCTGATTACTTCTCAATAATTTTTGGTTTAAGCGAATTATTTAGAAAAACGCTTTTCAATCTAATTCACAGGCAATCGTACCGTTAATGAGACAACGATTAAAACGGAAAACATATCCAATTCTGGTCATGATGAGCCGATGACGACAGCAGCGGATGAACCTAAAAATGATAAGAAGAATAAACGTCAACGACGCCAAAGAACACACTTCACATCGCAACAACTGCAAGAGCTGGAACATACGTTCAGTCGTAATCGTTATCCTGATATGTCGACGCGTGAAGAGATTGCCATGTGGACGAATCTAACTGAGGCCAGAGTTAGGGTAAGTATCTGTACATAAGCGAACGCGTTTGTTTGCAATGTTTGTGTGCGCGCATTTAAACTCTTCAAATACTTTTAAGCTTTGTTGGACTCCATTTATAAAATCCACCAAAAAAATTAAAAAAAAAAAACGAATTTGCTTTAATCTGAAATTCTGACTTTAACTGAAATTTATATTTATGTGTACGAACGTCTGGCGTACTCATAAATTTTGCGTGTTTATTTTCCCAATATTCTCCCTTTTGTGGTGTTTTCATTTTTTGTTTTCATTTTGTTTGCCATCACTAAGCTTAAGCTTCCATTGTCGTTGTTCTTGTTGTTGCTGTTGCTGTTGTTATTGTTATTTGTGTTGCTGTTACCATTGGTTGTTGTGGTTTATTTGTGGTCTCAACATTTTACAAAAATTTATATTACCATTGTCTCTGGCTGGCTGACTGTGCAGATATAACTACTATTGCCCTCTAGTGTGGCGGAATACGTACATACAGACATACACACACATATATATATATATATATATATATATATATATATATATAAATATGCACACGCAACATTTGTTTGGTATGGTGTAAATTTGTTGTTGTTCTCGCTAAATCTCCCAACGAAATTTTTTCGCGCATTGCAGTCGGCACTTAAGCTGGTAAGCGCGGTAACGACATATTGTTGCACCATTTTGTAAATTTGCCATAAATTTCAACACCATGTTCATGTTTTCAGTATTTTGCTTGTTGTTGCTATTATTGTTGTTCTTGTTGTTGTTGATGTTGTTTCCTTTTCACAATCTCACATACAACATGCGCATTTTCCTCCGTTAAAACATTATGGAGGATGCGCTGGTCAGCCAGCATAATAAACTTTTCTTTTGGGAAATTTTAAAATAACTGCACTGATGCCTGCAATAATTGAAACTATTTATGATAAGTTTCAGTTTAATGCCTTAAATTTTATTACAGTGAGAACTCGGACATAAGCATACATACCGGGCAACAAAAAGTCTTAAATTAATTCACTGATTTAAGTCATCAAATGAATGCTTGATAATAAGCAAGTTTTCCAAGAATTGGGATAGAAAGCATAACACAGAACAGGCTGAACGGTTACTGAATAGATTTTGCAAAAGTCACCATGAAATATGTACATACACCGACAAATAAGCATGAAAGTTCAAGCGGGAGGTTTATTAGTCGTCAACGAGGTCAACATAGATCTTATCAGAATAAAATCCCTTGTTTTCCTAATAAAACCAATCATTCGACATACGTTCACAAGCTGATGGCCAAAATGAGGAGGGATAAGGCGTAAGCTAGAGAGTCGTCCTACAGCACAATTTCAGTAATGAAGGAACAGTTATGCAACGATAGCGGCAAAAAAGCGATGTCTGCACACTTTGGACCGATATTCAGCAGGGCTTGGTGACAGAATGGCAGCAGCGACGGGAAAGCGACTCGAAAAGAAGGCGAACGTAAGACAATGGGTGGGAAGGAAACACGGGAAGTTATTTTCTTCAAATCCAATTTTTCCCTGGTCGTGGAAATTTTTGGACTTATCTATGCCGTTTCAACTTACGAGAAGATAACGCATGCGATCTCTGCTAAGGCACAAGCGACGCCGGACATTTGTCCGGCTTAGGCATGTTTGAAAAATACGCCAAATAACTTGCTAGCGGTCATGATAATGGAAACCGAAACTGGAAGAAAAGGCGCCAGTTTTTGCAAGACGTGCTTCAGTATAAAGGCCCACGAGGACGATAAGCGTCCATCTCGAGTTACGGTGCAAGTGATTCCGTGATGGCATTGACCACAACATAGCGCAGTGCGCTGCCACTACGTCCGTTAAGAAAAAAAAGAAGAAAAGAGGATGGTCGCGTTGGTGGTACGCTTGCGGGCTCAGACTAGCTGGCCGCGATTCTTATCTACTTGGCTTTGCGGCAGTTTTCGATGCTTGCCTTTTGGCAATTTCTACGATGAGTCGAGGAAACGTGCAATTCATTGAGTATATCATAAAGTAGCACAAACTTTTCAAATATAGATAATACACTCCTAATGATGGTCATGCGAAGCTACATGGCCAACTACCTGATCATGATTAAATCCTTTATATAATTATAATCTAGAAATCGGGCCAGAGAAACGAAAGAAAGCATTTAAGATAGTATAAAAAACATTTCCTAATATTTTTACCGTGAACTGTCCAATTCCAATAACTCAAAGCTTCCGCTAATTTTTGAAACCCGTTGGTTTGTAAGAGTTTTTTGGTTTTCCATAGAAGTTTGCGTCTTTCTGCTAAAACTTGAAGTTTAAAGCATTCTTCAGCTTACTCAAGTTGTTTCAACAATGCGGCACTCTTCTAGACATCTCCAGGCGGGAACATGCTATCCAACTAATCCATGGAGGTTTTTTAAACTAAACAAGAACCTTTGCAGCTTCTACAATAATCCTCGAAATCCAATGTTTTCCTTTACGCTTTTCAATCTCAAATCTACACAAATACCTGTTTTCACGTCTGTACTGATATCTAGCCAGTAATAGTTTCAATGATATACTCATATAAAACGATGACGATACCACCTTTGACAAAGACCCACTTTTGCCTTAAAGAATTTTTTTTTTTTTGTTTAAACGATAAAATATCAATAACAACAAAAAAGTCAATAAAAATAGAAAAGTTTATTAGTCGATTTATGATTAGTAAATAATAAAAAGAATAGGTGGCGCCTAGCGGCAAACAATACATTAAAGGAAATCATAGCAATACTGAGAGAACATGTAACTCTTCTCTCCGTAAATGTTATCAATGTATGGCTTTATTAAAATTAGAAAAATATATGAAAAGAGTAACAAAAAGCGATACTAAAAATAACCCATAAATATATCCAAAGTATTTATAGTTTAATAGGTACTTTGAACACTCTTTCAGTGAGTACCAATGGAAACTTTACGCTTTTCTTCCCAGCACTCTTCACTCATTTGATTCGGCTATGGCATAAAAGTCAGATCATTTTGTTAATACGCATTTAATTATTCATCTTGAAGCGTTCTAGATGCGTAACAATTGAGAAAAATCCATGAAATTTAATTTAATTAGTCATTCGGCATAGATTTACAAATTCTATGATAAACCTTTAATACCATCTCGGATTGCGTTAATTCATTAATCAGAGAGAAAGTGACAAACGGTTGTCAATATAAAGCGAAAATGATCGATGACATTTAATACGATCACCAATGTACATACATACATTTGTGTGTATATTTAGACGCCTGCCTTACTGCTGACGCACACACACACACAATAGTCAGGCAGACAGGCAGCTTGCAAAATGATAAAAAACAGTCTCGCCATTCATAACATTGAACGTCTCATGAACGAGTCGCAGAGGCGGATAATGTTTTGATATTATCAATCAATTTATAAATTATAAAAAAATTAACAAAGCGCACACACATGTAAAAAATTTTGATTTCTTTTTTTTTAATGAGTAATTAAGAGGTTGCTTTTTACCTTCATTATATATATATTTTTCTTTTTGTATATCCCCAGACGAAAGGTATAGTTATACTAGTTTCCTTAAAATATCCTCCATATATACATATATATGTACTATCTTATCCCGACTGAAAATGACAATAATTAACGGGGTTGAGTCCGACGGTTATTTTCCAGCTGAGCATCGTGTATGCTCATAGTTTGACAAACGCACTGAGTCACATGGGTATCGATGGGTGTTGATGAAAATGCATAAATTAAAGTTCGAATAGTTGCGCATATGTTGCTTACACATCACTTCTAACGGCTGCTAACAAATCTCAAAGGAATACTCCAGCAAAGACCAGTTGGATTAGATGATGATGTCGGCGTAATGTGAGGCGCCTTGAGACGTTCTTTGAAAAACTGATTGTATTACATCCCTCCATACTTGGTTTGCAAGTAGAGAAATATCCGAAGTAGAGATTATCTGGGTGAAAAATGCGATGAATGTCCAAGAATCACATAATTGTTTTCCGTTGGGTTCATTGCAGCTGATCTATGACACAACCGTGGCATCCGTTTTCAGTATTTCTCATGGTTCGCATTATTCCTTTCTACGCAGAGATGCATTTCCCGCACACTTCCTCCGCCACCTCTCTACACTTCCCTCACGATTGCTTGTCCCCCAACCGGTTTTCTTTCTTTGCCATTGATAAGTTAGGTATGTTTGAAATAATACTCTTCATGCAAGCAAACAGACTTTGGCCGCTCTACCGATTGTCTTTTCGTTGCTGGTCCTGTTTAAGAACAGATTTCTTTGTGCACAGAAGTCCATCGCCAGTCCATCAAAGCCTTAAGGGTTGTCAAGCTTAAAGTAGTTCTCTCTAAACTTCAAAACACACTTTCAAAGTTCTTTTAATCCGCTGTTTAACCCGCAAATCTGGGAAGCATCGCAAATGATGCTCAGGACGCTTTCTTATTTATTTGCTCATATATACATAAAAATTCGGCTAAATTGGCCAGGTGGACAACCCGTAACAATTATTACCAAAGAAGAAAAAATATTGAATTCTTAAATTGAAGTGATCGATCCGCCATTAAATATCCTACACAATCCTAAAATAGTTATCATATAACGACTTCTCCAATTACATCTTTACTTGGGAAATGTTCAAAGCCAAAGGGAAGTCAAAATACCCCAGTGTACCAAGATATCTCTGCGGCCTCTTGGTTGATCACAATAACAAACACATAGACAAACATTAGATGGACAGATGGACAGACAAACTTAAATGGATGTAAGAGAAGGTGCGTCTAGCTTAACCCCTTCTGGCTGTCTGTCCGCACACTGTATAAATTAAAGTAAAATATAATTAAAGAAAATTAAATAATAAAATGAATAAAATGATTGAAATAGTCCTCTAATGTATACTACAAAAAAAGTACACAAAGCACGCACGTTAACAACCTAATATTAGTTTGCATTACATTTCCAAGTAAAGTAGATATGCAAAGCGAAAAAAAAAAAAA